TAGAACTACGTACGTGTATGTACATAAGTTCATGTTGCCATACCACATTATTAGCACAAGGACGCAAATGTCAAATTAAATCCCATAGTGATAAACATAGTAGAGGTATTAATGGTAATGAAGAAGACTAGGGTTCAAAGATATTATTATTCAAGAAGTATAATTAAGTGAAATAAGCTTAGAAAGACAAAGATAGGGGTGTGGACGAATTCAGAAGATTAGGATTTGAGAGAGCACAACGAATGGATACACTTGCGCCATTGCAAACGATTTTGAGACATGTAGTTCAAGGTCTCTATCATCTCGTGAATTCCCCAACCAGGTAGTCGACATCTACCAACATAACTCAGTCCACTTCATGGATTTCTGCCATGTTTTGGTTTGGCCGCACCTAGCTTTCTTCCAAAGGAGGAGACATTGGATATTATGATTACTGAGCTGATAGAGCGGAGTTTGTTAACTTAGTTGGTCGGTAGGTCCTCATCACATAGGCATGTTCAATGTTTCGATAGACGAGTAAGTGTGGTCGATAATGTTCGAAACGTCATTTTAGCATCTTGTTTCATGACAATTATAGCAATAATAATAATAATAATAATAATAATAATAATAATAATGATAACCAGAAGAAAAGAATCATTTCGATTGCATTTAATATAACTAACTTACTTACTTATGATGTGCATAAGTTGATGAATAGCCTTTTGATGTCATATAAGTATTACGTGTTGTTAAACCAATAGATGCGTATATAATATTATTATTAGTAGTAGTATTTTCATTTAGATTTATATAATTAATTTTACCCAACAGAATTATCTAAATGTCAAATAAATGTCAAATAAATAATTATACCTGATTTATATCATCTGATAATGTATTCATTGGACGATATGATAATTTTTCAAATATTTTTTTTAACTGAGGAAAATTTGAAAATATTCTGTTAGTATTATTCCACATGATCTGAAAAAAATTAAAAATACTTTTTTTAAGAATAAATAAATAATGAAATTAGATAGAAATGATATTACTGTGTTTTAACATGTGTAATGAACGGCTAACACTGAGAAGAGTACGCTGTCCCTTGATGAAACTTCATCAGTTGAGGTAGTTGGGACATGTGTTGCGTATGCCCAACCACCCACTACCTCGTCGAGCTTTGTTTTGTAGTGTAGGAATAGGTTGGAAGATAGCTAGGGGCGGTCAGACCAAAACATGGCAGAAATGCATGAAGTCACTGACTAGTGGACTGAGTTATGTTGGTAAATGTAAACTACCTGGTTGGGGAATTCGCGAGATGATAGTAAAACATGGTTAGAGAGACCTTGAACGACATGGCTCAAAATCGTTTGCAATGGAATGTCGCAGGTGCATTTATTCTGTGTTCTCTCAAATCCTAATCTTCTGGATTCTTCAACACCTCTACTTTTGACTTTCTAAACTTATCTCATTTAATCATACTTCTTGAATATCTTCTAATCCTAACCTCTCCGATTACTTCTAATACCTTTACTAGCTCTTCTACTATTGGATTTGAATTGACAATTACATCTCTGTGCTGATGTGGTATGGCGACATGAACTGATGTACTTACGTACGAAGTTCTACGTTGCAACTGACTTACTGTACGTTGTCCCTTTTAAAGTGCTCTCCATATGGACTCTGGCAGAGAAGCTTAACTGCTTTCTCAGTGACAGTGAAATGGAATTGATTTGAGAGTTATTAAGAGATATAAGAACAATTTGATTACGACCTGGAAGTGTGATCACAGAGTCCATACATAGGACAACTGCTTGATGAGGTCAGTCAACATGGTTTTTTATGGGAAGTGTTTAAAGTGTTAGATTCGTTGCTTAAAAGGCCTTACTGCCGGAGATGGAAATCCTGGAAGCGTAAGGTAAGTTGTGACAGCTTCAGGGTTTTCTGACGTTTTCTAACCCGTTCCTCCTGTTGTGAGAGGGCAGCATCAGTACAGATGCTGGTTGTCCAAGGGAAACACCTTACTGTTGTCACACTTCTCTCTGGAGTCAGTTGTACGACATCGTCCTCAGACTTTGGTTTGTTCCTTTTAGTTTTACTGTTGACCAATCCACCAGCCTGGCATGGAATGACCTAAAGGAATATTTATTTCAGCTGATTTAGCCCGACCGGATCATCACGACAAGCAAGACCACCGCGACAAAGTAGCAGCTACGCTTGGGATATAATTGATTGGCTTCTCACTCTTTAAAATTAATACATTTAACCATGAGGGTACGAGACTAATTCTTCCCCTGAAAAATACCTTATCCATACAAGTTGTCAAAACAGTGTCATACGACTAGGACATATCATAGTTGCTATTCAAGCTGAAGTGTAGACATCAAAACGTCATGCTATTTACAGGGTATTATACCAGTGAATACATAGTACATGATTTTTCAAAAAATAAACTCTAATCGTAGTCAGTCAAGTACAGAAACCTTGTAGTCGATGACTTGCCTGCATCCAAAATAAAGTGGGTTAACTTAGAAACAGGGTCATTAATTAAAATTATTAGGTCACAAGCTTTTAGAAATCACAATCTCACGAGCGTTAGTCCAGTACATTCAAAATCTTATCAGATGAGCCATTACATTCTTCTTTTTTCCTGAACTTATTCTTTTTTCAAAATCATGACGTCAAAAAAATTAAGCATCTTGTCTATGGGATGAAGTGATTACACAGTTATTATACTGAAATTTACTGTCAATATGATTTAGCAGGCACACACGTCTTATTATATAGAAGGCATAAATACATACGTACTCTACAGCCTCTCCCAAAAGCTGCAAAACTGACTAAGAAGTATCAGTGGAAAAGGTGAAGATATCGTTCATTCAGGGCAAATTATTTTTTGACTAGAAGAATGCAATAATGATCACGATTTGAAAAACAAGATCGAAGCAATATCCGACATACTACAGACCGTTAGACTGACATACTGTAGTGAAAATATTAGAAAAATAAATAATGAGGACTATTATAACCGTTGAAATAAATAAATTTTTTCAAATTCACCCATTTATATATTTAAACACACGAATTACTGGTACATGGGGAAACTTGAATGTGTATGCACAAAACAGATAGAATTTGGGAATAAAATGAGATAACCTACTTCAAAGTGCAAAAAACGGCTTTAGGAACAGCTTAACATGTGCAACAAATAACCTGATAGCAAGAGATGGAGAAAAACCAGCTAGTGACGAAGAATATGTCTATTCTATCCATGTGAAGTAAAGCGTTTGACAAGCTCTGTATTAGGTTATTCGTGAAGCTGGAGAATTATAGCTTTACATGGTTTCAATAGGATCCAAAATGGGGAACTACGTACAAGTACTAAATATCTCTCTCCGAACAAATTCGAAAATCTTAAAAAATTGTAAAGTAATTAGATACCCAATAGATTCTAGCATTCAAAAGCTCATAAAACACATTGTGGTTTCAGACATTTAAGTTGTTAAAATATTTTTATAGAAGTATGAAATGATCTAAATTTGGAACATAGTGAACATGGAGGAAAGATTATGAAAGTGAAGTATACTCATTAACATTTAACTATGTCAAGATAACTCTTAGAAGGCATAAAGGAAGGTTCGAAAATAAAGGAAAAACAAAATTCTCCCGTTATGGAAGATTTATCAGAGAATATCCTCCTACTGGAATAGACAACAACTTATCGATGGAGGTTTTATTCAGAGAAAGGTTGGGTAGCTTCTGATGACAAAATCCCGAACCTGTGTAAATTGCATAGTTTTATTTGTGAGATCACTGAAATGCCGAGAATGTCAGAATCGCTATTTTACAACTGCTCATGACAGCAGATATTAATACAAACACCACCAAGTACCTCAACAGCCAAGACAGTAACGTTACTGTCAAATTACCGCCGTGCAATATCCAATATCTTTTATGCTAGCTATCACGTGACCAGGCCAGAGATCAGTTAGTTGCAATATAGAGAAAAGTACAGATACAACTCTAATTCTAATAAGAAGGTTTCAGAAATAATTAAATAAATATTTAATCTAGTTTACCAATTGGTGGTATTTATTATCTAATTTTTTTTCTCAAGTTAGTGTTGAACGAGTGGTCTGTTTGCACTGACTTCTTGCTATTTTGGTGCACTTCCATGAATTCAGTTGTTAAGAGACTTGAATGCGCTTTTACTGATCAGTTTTGCAGCAATTTATGTATTTGGATGTCCTTTAGTGTGAATGATTGTGATGTCTTAGGGAAGTAGGCAATTAAGATACCAACAGCTTTCAAATTAGTATTCTGGAGGATTATAAAGAGAGCCTTCTGATACTGACTAAAAGAAAAATGTAGTTATAGTGAGAAACCGTGACTAGTGAAGTTCAACCCTGTCGATTGTGAAGTAATTTCCTACTTGAAACGATGGATACGGTCGCGATTTGTCGTCGATTTAGTGAATGATTGCTGAGGAGTACCATATTCAGACTAGACCGTCGACTTAAGAAATTCCCGATGGCGGTGTAACACTGATCTATTCATAATTTCAAACTAGGAAATTACACGGATGGTATAATTCAATTGGTCGACAGTTCATATAGTGTGAAATGACAGAAGTGCAACGACATAGGGGAAACAGAGATAATAATTAACAAAGTACCAAGTGCCTTCCAATCTATTGTTTCTAACATACATTAACTTAATACGACGCTTCATCACACTAATACTCTACAAGTGAATCTAAACCAAACACCGTTTCGTGAAACACAACCAAATCATAGGTACTACCTGAGAACTTTTATGGATACTCTTATAGATACTAGGTACCATCTGTTAGAAAACTCATTCCATAAAATTGGTCATATATGTAAAATGGCGTGAACCTGTCAATTTTAACTAGGCAACCTATTACTGTTAATGGGATAGTATTCGTAACAAGCTGGCTTTATTAGTAAATTGATGTGCCCCATGCAATAAACAGTATTTTTGGGGACAAATACTGTCATAATTATTATTAGTAGTGGTAATATGAAGCATCGAGAATTGTAATATCGGAAAAGTTTCTAAACACCGATAGTCCCATAAGGAGACGATTATATAAATATGAATGTATTTATCACGTCTCTTCTAGGAGCTATACACTAAGGGCGCTGTGATCACCTCGTCTGAGAAAGCATTGCAAGTAGTTGCGAATCTTAGTGGAAATATCGAGGACCTACTTTGGTGTTTTTTGCTATAACAGGTGTACTCGGGAACTGTGTTGGTGATGTACCTGTTGTGAGTGAATCCAGATACAAGATTGACTATGCTCACCATTAAATGTACCATACGGTCGTGTCACGAATATCCAAACAAAATAAATCCATGGTTGAGTTGTTTATTGAAGGAGAACGTTGGCATTACATGGGGAGCAGCAAATAGAGAAAGATGGCGGCAACGCGAAGAGAACGTTGCGCGCAAGAAGTAGTAGAAGTGTACAATAATAATTACATTTCACAAATCGCATTTTCTTCGTAGATACGTTGCACTACATACCGTTACGATGCTAGTGTTAGAATGACTGAGAGTAAGCGATCAAATCACCTATTATTCTTTTATAGCTTGGCGAGAATAATTCCAAATGTTGAATTCGGTCAGTAGGAGGCCAACACTCACTAAACTGCTAGTCTCTAGTCCAATAGATTTACATCTTTTTTAGAAAGAAAGGTCAAGACGACGTTGTGAACTTTAAGGTTTAGACATGTGTTTGGAAATGAATAAGGGAAAACAGAGAGACTTACTTGCCTACTTACCTAAGCCTGTTAACCTCAAGGAACATAGGCCGCCGACCAGTATTCTTAAAACTGTTCTGTCTTGAGCTTCCCTCCACAGTACTGTCCAATTTTTGTTAATTTTTTTCAAGGTCTGTTTTCGTTTCGGGGCGTTGTGTATTTTTCGGTTTTAAAAAATTGTGACGGATATCACTACCTGGTTTTCGCATAAAGTGAATAGTTACCCTGCATATAGTTTGAAGTGATATTCTGGCTCTCTTTGGTTAGTGGACTGAGATCGTGCTCAGAGAAGACATTGGGAAGTGGATTTTTATCGAGGACGTATGTCGTCTGTGTCGCGTGAGGTTGAATTTTCGTGATACAACGTTTCGACTGGTTGAGTATCAACTCGTTGTTCTTACTTATTCCTCTGTAGTTGTGAGATCATTTTGAAGTTTTGGCAAATCTTCTGCACTGCTTGTGGTCCCCACAAGTGTCTGTTGTCATCAGTGTTACGTCCAGTTTTTTGCCGGTTGATCCTACGAAGCACGGTTGTCGAACTATTTGTAATTCACGGTCCCCAAATGTTCAAATCAAGAACGAAACTCCAAAGTAGATACCAAAGTTTATTCCAAATCACAAATTCGACCAAAATACTTTATTACAAATAGACGACCAATGTCGTTCTAACAACAATAATTATAATAATTACAGTTACCTTCTAATTTATTGGCTCTTGGAGCAAAAAACTGCAAACGAACAACCAAGAGAAACGGGAGTCCAAAATGTCCGCAAATAATAATTCAAACAAGTTCAGAAGTTAAGTAAAACAAATGTACCCAAAAACAGTGAAATTAATGATATTTATACATGAAGGTTTTGATCAGCAAAATGTCTTCGTTTCTCCCGTAACAATCAGTTCGTACCACTCGTTTTGATAGGGCACTCATATATTTCTATCACTGGTCGATTCGGCCTTAAAATGGTCACAAAGGTTGAATTAATCACATCCTATTATAAACACTGTTCAACATTTTTCCCATTACTTTTTAAAATTTAAAGGCAGCCAAATGTAGTGAACAAGAACACAGGTGGGTCAACCGGATTGTATTTAACGAAAATTACAGAGTTACTCAGTAAAATAGGAAAACCATATCGTAAATCGTTAATTTGCAAAATATATCAGTTCATCATATCGAACTGGACTGTTCCTGTTGCAAAACATCAATCCATTGTCACTATTCATGTATTTCATACAAATTCCATTGTGTTCTAGCTCTTCCTTTCTTGATCTTCCCCCATCTTCTCTTCTGCTGCCAGACATTACGTTGACACTCACGTCATATACTACTTATAAGTAGCTCGCTCAGCACTCGTCTCCCCTCTTAATAAGCTGCCGTCACTTTCAAAACAGGGACCCTGATCAGTTAATATCACCTTCCGAATTCCGTGACACGCTACAATATGCCGGATTACCACTTCGGTCATTGTTCTTGCCCGCTGGTCTGGAATGGATACGGCATCTATCCAACATGTAGCGTTTACTGGTTCCCACTGCCGGGACACGGCGGCAGGCACACTCTCGATAAATTGCGACGCCAACAACTATGCCCCCGACTCCTCATCCATACTCGGCAGCGTACGGCGCAGCAACATCATGAGCCCCACAGCCGGCACCAACAGATC